AATGTATAAGTTGATTTACTTCGATCTACTGTACTGTGTAAAAACACCACAATAATATTACAAAACATATACTGCATATTAAAGCAAACTATTGTAAAGGTAAGGTATGTAGTAAAAAATAAAGAAGTGTAAACATTTACATTATAATTATGATTATTTAATATATAAAGTAGGGCTGTCAGTCAATATTTAATCGCGATTAATCGCATGATTGTCCATAGTTAATCGCAACATTTTGTATCTGTTCTAAATATACCTTAGGCTTAGAGGGATATTTTTCAAGTTTTGAATACTCTTATCAACATATGAGGGGACAAATATGCTTTATGCAAATGTTTATTATCATTTGAACAATGAGAAATATTCTTCTGAATATTAAACACAACAACCTCTGAACATTACAAATATTCGCCTCAATTCAACCTGGAACCTCTCTCATACAATACAATAATACAATACAAAGTGTGTGTGTGTGTGTGTGTGTGTGTGTGTGTGTGTGTGTGTGTGTGTGTGTGTGTGTGTGTGTGTGTGTGTGTGTGTGGTGTGTGTGTGTGTGTGTGTGTGTGTGTGTCGGCGCAGTTGTCGGCAAAATGCCGCTCCTCTGTTTTCATAACTGTCAAAGCATGAAACTGAAGTTCCCACTGTGGGTCAAAATAATGCGCTGTAACCCGAGGTGACTGTCATTACTGAGTGAAGTCCAATAGTCTCCGGTGAGTCTTTCTTAAATCCTCCTCTACTTTCACTTTTTGGACTTCATACAAGTTGTGTATCTGGAAGGCAATTCATAAGTGCAGTCGTTTGATGCGACCCAAATTATATCACGCAGCCCCTCGTCCTCCACAATGTGAATTGGCCTGCAAGCTGTCGCCACCCATTAAGCGAAGTGTGGTCTGCCGCAAGCGGGCGGCAGGAGCGGGGCTGTCATTATCAGTAGTGTGCTTGGATTGTAGATGGTATTTTAAACTCGATGCGCTCTGAAACTACGGGGCGGCCGAGGACAAAAAACGCACATGCGTTAAAATAATTATTAACGTGTTAACTTGACAGCCCTAATATAAAGATATTATTGAATTACAATTAAGATAATAAGATTAGATATACTTTATTTGATCTAGAATATTGATGTTTTTTCGTTATAGTAGCCTGTGAAAACCATAACAAATATGTGTTTAAATGCTCTTCAGCAAACACAACTGCAGAGCTGCAAACAAACTGAAGACCAAAGTTCACCCATGTCTTTGTGTATTTGTGAATGAAGCGCCATCTCAATCCTGAACGCCCTCTCAGGAAATAGTGGGAGGGCTTTACATTTCCAGCCACTGGGATCCGCTGGGTTTTTGGCTGGAATCCGTTGGGTGAAGTCCATTCTGTATGTCAGTAGACATCCCACTTGTGAATGTTGGAAGCTGTTATGTGTTTTAAAAACAGTGACTAAATAGGAATACCACACAATAGCCGCCTTTAGCTTAGCGGGGGTGATGCACAGCCATGTGACCATGATTTAGTTCCTTAATAGCCTAACGTTAGCTTTTTATTAAGCTTCAAAATTCTTGAAAGTGGTGTTGATATGTGGAGATTATCATGCTAAACAAAACATTTGAGTTTGTTTTCTGCAATATTTCAAATGGATGGAAAAATCCCATTGCTTTTTGTCAAGGGGGCCTTTGCGATGCTAAATTCTGGCTTCGCTAACAAATATATCATCACTGCACAACTCTATAAATGAATAATAAAGAGTTTAAAATGGCAGATAATAAAACATTACGTCTATTACCTCTGTAATGATACAGAAAAGCTTATTATGCTGCTGAAATGTTTTCTTTCTGATAGCAGATACCAGATACACATGGCCAGGGTGAGCTTGTTTTCCACCTCAGTGCGGCCCTCACAGATGACCTGCTACAGTCACAGGCTTTTTAAGGTATTCTTACAAAATGTAGACCAACCCGTCCATATCTCATCACAGTATCTGACAGCACAGAGGAACAAGTGGAACCACATAACACAATTTGCGTGGTCATGACCGGCTGTATTCGACAAGTAGACTAATGACAAATGGTAAAAGATACAATGAGCCATTTCTTAATTTTGTTATATGTGTACTGTTTTCTTAAATGTGTTTTTTTTAGAGGTTTTGTGTTTTTTCTTAAATGCTGATGCCTCTTTTTTTACAATGTTGTGTCTTCTAACAACTGTTATTGAGACAGTTCAGGCAGGGGCGGCGGGTACAGTAGGTTAGAGAAGGTTAAGCCTTCCCAAATATTTTTGTCACTGCATCCTGGTCAAATTAAAATATAATGTATAATGTTTGTGTCTTTGACATTAGCGCTGCTATGCAGCCACCAGTAAACTGTACTACGAAGCCAGTTCAACATACCCTGGATATGTTTGAGTAATCTTAACTAACCCTAACAAACGAGATCTCGCTAAGCGGTCCTACGACGCTGGTTATCAACTCAGTAAATCAAGCCAGGGTTTCTCTGTCCGGCTGAAAGCGCGTTCACGTGAAAGGGTCGGGGTTAGCTACATTTGACCAATCAAAAACATGGACAAGCATACTGTCAGCGCAGCGTCATACTTCTTTAATGAAAAGTAAACAAATATGAAGAAGTTACACTTTAAACATCCATGACTTAAACACATAATCCAGGATAAAGCCACATCGTTTAACCTGCAAGGTGAATACAGAACAGCTGGTAAAAAAATAAATAAACTACCGAGTGTTTGAATTCGTACATTAACAGTCTATGATCAGGGGCGCCGTAAGGGGGTGAAAAGTTAGGACGATTCTAAGGGCCCGTGACTAACAGGGGCCCAAACTATTTTAGAACATTAAGTAACCAATATGATATCTTTTCATGGGGCCCAAAATCCCTGGCGGCGCCCCTGTCTATGATATCACTGCCCCGTCTAAGACATGGGTGGATCTGACTTTAATTACATTCGAGTTGAGTGTTTCGTCAAATTAAAATAATACTTCTGCAAAGAGTATGTGACAGTGTAAGTGTTGCACGGCCAGATACGGCTCAGCTGACTCAGATAAGGAAATCTATGATATAGCCTATTAAGATATTATATGATCGATGATCTGATTGATGATGTGATATGAATGATAAGTGCGACACGTCGGCGTCTTCTCTGCATACTGCAGTTTAAACTGTATTTCCTTTATCCTGTAATATGACTTGATAGATTTAAACTCCACACACTGAGCTCTGATTGGTCAGCAGGCAGTGCTTTCACTGAGTTGATCTCTTTTCTATAGACGCCGGGGTTCAGGTCATATTGTTTTAGTGGTGGTTATTTTTATGAGATTTCTTTAGATTGTAGAAGTTTTACAATTCGCCCCGCGCCTCTGGAACTCCCTCCCAGATCAGCTGAGATCTGCCCCTTCCACCGAGGTCTTCAAAACCGGCCTTAAGACCCTCTTCTTTCGGCAGGCCTTCCAATAAACTTTGAGCATGGTACACCTGGAGTATTGCCATTTTTATCGCTATCTCCGACTTTTACTTTTGTACGCTATTTTATTTTTTTATTTCTTATTATTATTACAATTATTTGTTTAATCTCTCAAAGTGTATCAATATCCCTTGTTGTGAAGCACTTCGAGATTTGTCTTGGCAGATGAGAAGCGCTATATAAATTAAATGTATTTATTTATTTTACAATGGAGGTTTAGATCAATTACAAGCTGTTTCAAGCGGGTAAGCATGTTTTCACGCAAAGTGCAATCAACATTTCTAAATTAGTTTGGGGAAACTCAAGATAAATCTGCACATTCCCGTCACATGCTAAGGGAATTAGCAACAAATAAGATAGTTCTCTAAGTAATCAGTGTGTGCAAACTAACTTAACAAGCTAGTTTACCAAGAGGCCAGTTATACAGTAAAGCCATGCTGGTCTTAACACATCAGAGCAGAGAATGTTGAGTTGAGCAGTTGAGATTGGCCATAACTGGCAAGTACAACAAGTATATCTCGTAATAATTAATTAAATGTTATATTCTCTCAAGATATCAGGTGGTGTTGTGGTGCTGAAGATAATTACCCTTAGGTCTTTATGTTAAGATATTTATTTTTACTCCGTTCACTTTTGTCCAACTATGTGAGCAATGTGGAGACTGTTAACATTCTTCACATGAATACATGAAACAAACACAAATGTGCAACTTCTTTAACGCACTTGAAAAATAAGCGCCCACCTAGTGTTTGGAAAACATGGAATAAATCATTTTTCTTTTGAAGATATTTTCTTATCTTATATTTCATTAGGATGGACCTGATTTATATATAAAGGTGGAGATAAATCACTAATTGATTAAATCCACTCGTACCCCTTTTTCACTGAATTGAGTTCTATGACAATGTTTGGCAACATAGCGACTTCAATATGGGATTGTCTTATTTGAAGTTTCTCTTACAGTATATTACATGGTTAGCCTAGCCACCAAAGCCAGTCTGACAATCGATAACAAGATTGAGATCCAACAAACTAAATAATAGTTATATTATTTTTGTCGTGTTTGGAAGAATGGAATCCCTACAAACATTAGAGAAGGTAGCCACAATGATAGCATACGGGTTGCAACTCAAACTTTGAGGAATACAAAATAATAAGTCACACGTATGCTTGTTTAATGTTGTGTGACTTTTATGTATATATGTTTGTGGTTGAGTTTTTGCCACTTTGCAATCTTGCCGCCGACTTTCTACTCTCTCCATGGACTATAGTTGCTCCAACCCAGCCTCTGACTTATGGCTAGCTCTTGGTTCTTTGAGCGCAACTAGTTGGCGATTGGGCACCGCCTCCAAATTGGTCCTGGAACTGCCTCGGTGAAAAAGGGGTATCTGACGGACCATGAAGTACGGAAGCGTTAGCCATTGATAAAGATAGAATAAAGTCAAGATTAGAAAACAGTTTTCAATGCTAGCAGTGGAGCTCTAGGGAAGATTCAGGAGGGGGGGGGGGGGGGGGGGGGGGGGGGGGGGGGGGGGGGGTCCAGACTAAGATATTCTGGCAAATATTCTATGGATTGACCTGCAGTAGTGATCATCTGACTGTATCTTCCTCCAGTAGCACCATGAGATTGACATTTTTGGTTTTGATATACACATTGATTGCAATAAACTTTGGTAAAGATATTCATGTTCTCCCCACGATCATTTCGAATAACCATTGCGATTGCGAGGTTTCATAAAGCGCCATGATCATTAAGATTAAATTCTTCCTGTACTTTAGTTTATGACCAAACTCAAGCAAAAACATTCCCATAAGCATCAGCTGTATGTATGTATGTATGTTTGTATGTTAAACTAAGATGGTAAACAGTACCTGATAAACATGATTAGAATGTTAGCATGTTAGCATTTAGCTAAAAGCACCGCTAAATACAGGGTCAGAGAGATGCTAACAGTGCTAACCTCTCAATCTGATTGATTCGTCAGAATTAATTGATAACTGAATGACAGGCTTGGAGAATATATTCCAAATCTGTTATCTTGATATATTAAAAATGAAATTTGAATCACTGCTTGAAATTAAATCATGACTGATAAAGAATGGGCCTTAAAAACCTTTTGATCATGGTGATTCCCGCCTTGACAATCATTACAAATACATATTAATACACAGATCCATCAACTAAGTAGCTTACATAATCACATCATCTTATCTCTCCATGTTAGGAGTCAAATACAAAGTTGGCATCATCTCATGAACAGAAGAAATGAGGACGAAGAACTTTTAAACAGCAGTCGAAAGTTCATGAAGCTTGAAAATAATTTGTGTAAAAACGTCATTCAAATGACAATTTTTCTTTGTTTTATAGTTATATAGTGAACATTCAATTGCTGCATGAGAAAACATATCAAGAGTGTTCAATGAATCCCAAAGTGTTCATGATGAATCTTTGCAGAACTTGCACTTCAGACACACAGTACAACAGCACTCCCCAATAATCCCATTCTGAGCAGTTTTACTGTCTGAGTTCTTCCTCCTGCCCTATGTCCAGACTCTGAGTGTCTCTCAGCAGTACACAGACCAATAGATAAGGTTGAAGAAGATGTATGACCCAGGGAAAATCATCCTTGAGTATTTGTCAATGGCGTGCGTGTTCTGGATGATGTTAAGCTTCCGCAGGCTCTTCTTTTTCTTGGCGGTGGTGGACTCGCTGCTCACTGAGAGATGCACCACCATGTGTTCGGGTTTCTCGGGAACCTCGTGCAGCTCTTCCTGCTCCTCCTCCGGCACCATGGGCTCCTCAGTGTAGCCGGCCAGGCTGTTGGTGTCTGCCTCGCTGTAGGTACCGTCCAGCATGGTCATGGTCCGCGTCCCGGAGATCCCACAGGTGCAGGGGAGTGACTGGCAGGAAAAGAAAATACAGTTATCAAGGGATAACACCAACATTAATGGAGACTATCAGGCCACCTGAGCCTAAAGTGTTTAAATAAGAATTGAAATGTCCTCATGTGTCCTTACCTGTGGTATGTTATCTGTGATAATGATTTTTTTGTCGTGTTTTTTTATGGGCACTACTAGAGATTTAAAGGAATGAGTCCTGAAAACCGGAAATTAGTTAGCATTTAACCAGTTCGTTGGTCTCATAAATGTTTTTTTTATTCCTGAAAGAATTTCTGTGGTTAACACAAGCTCAAAACATGTTCACTACAACATAAAATACATCAGGTTATATACCACACTGGTGAATGTCCGTAGCTTCTATGTGACTTAAAAACAGTGGTTGCTAAATGAGACTACTAAACATCATCATGCCAAACATTAGCCACCTTTAGCTTAGCGGTGGTAAAGTGAAGTAATGTGACTCAAATTGTGTTTGTTTAAAGTTTGTTAGCTTTGTACTTCGGGCGATTGCATTAACGCTTCAAAAATCATAAAGTAGTGTTAATATGTGGAGATTATCCTGCTGAACAAAACATGGAAGTATCAGAAACTTGTGATTCCCACATATCCGCTTTTCTGCAATATTCCCAAATACAAAGTAAAATCCCATTGGTTGTTGTCGATAAAGCCCAAGCGACGCTCATCACTGCACCACTCTATGATAGTGATTGTTCATTTTTTTGTTGCTAAGGCTAGGGCTGCTCGATTATGGCAAAAATCATAATCACGATTATTTTGGTCAATAATTGATATCACGATTATAAATACGATTATTCATTGACTTTGAAAACATCCATTTATTGAACTTTAAAACAGATACAAATAATAATATGAACAGTATATTTTTAACTGTTGATAACCCTGAACGTATAATTCAACTGAAAAACCAATAGAAAAATAAATAAAATAAATGATACATTTATATTTAAATAAATAATATCAAAATAATAAATACCAATAAACAAGATCAACAAATATTTTGGAGCGCACTTCCACCAGCTACTAAACATATATAAATATGATGAATTAAAATAAATTAGATATGATCAATTTAAAATTAATTAGACTAAAATAAGTTAGACTCATCCTAATTTGAAAGGTGCAAATGTCATTCCGGCAAACATTTCAGGGCTTTGTGGACTTAATCCATGACAAAGTGGAGTTGAGACCAGGAGGCGGAGTCGCAGTCTTACACGCTTCTCTGCGCTCTCTCCTAGGCAGTCATCCATAGGAATCCCGAACCCAATAAAATACCCAATGTGTGTCTGCCCAAGGACAAGTTAAGGTAAAACCTAATAGAGGTGTCATACATAATAACCTAATAAAAGTCAATGTAACAACTACTACAGTGCAACAAAACAGGAAGATTAAATGTGGTCTCTTAAACATAAGATCTCTAGCATCTAAAGCAATATTGGTAAATGATTTAATATCAGATTATAATATTGATATATGCTCGTCTCACTGAAACTTGGTTGAGACATGAAGAATATGTCAGCATAAATGAGGCCACTCCACCCAGCCATATCAATACTCATATTGCCCGAGGCACAGGCCGAGGAGGTGGAGTTGCAGCAATCTTTGACTCAAGTTTACTTATCAATACTAAACCAAAATTAAATTATACCTCCTTTGAAAGCCTCGTTTTTAGTCTTACGCATCCGACCTGGAAAACTTTGCAGCCAATCTTATTTGTTTACAGTGTACCGTGCACCAGGTCCTTATTCAGAATTCTTATCTGAATTCTCTGAGTTTTTTATCAACTTTGGTTCTTAAAACAGATAAAGTAATATCGTAGGTGACTTTAATATTCATGTTGACGATGATAAAAATAGCCTTACTGTTGCATTTAACTCTATATTAGATTCTGTTGGTTTTTGTCAGAGTGTAAATAAACCAACCCACTGCTATAATCACACTCTCGACCTTGTTCTGACTTACGGAATTGAGCAACTATTAGTACAACCGCATAATCCTGCTTTATCTGACCATTTCTTAGTAACTTTTGAAGTACTGTTACTAGACTACAAAGCATTAGTCAAAAGCTCCTTCAGCAGAAACATAAATCTGTTAGTGCTATAGCCAAAGTCCTGCCAACCCAATGTCCTGCTCCGTTGGGGGTTCCGCTGAGGGTCCTGCCAACTCCGTGTCCTGCCAACTCCGTGTCCTGCCAACTCCGTGTCCTGCCAACTCCGTGTCCTGTCCTGTTGGGGGTCCCGCCGACACCTGTCCCGCCGGGGGTCCCGCCAACACCTGTTCTGTCAGAGGTCCAGCCAGCTCCGAATCCTGTTCAGTCTGATGTCCCGCTGCCACCAGATTCTAACCCGCCGGGGGTTCCGCCCACACCTTGTCCTGTTCTGACGGCGGTCCCGTCGACACCAGCCCTTGTTCCGTCTGGGGTCCAGTCGACACCAGCCCTTGCCCCGTCTGGGTCCCACTGACACCAGCCCATATTCTGTCCAGGGTCAGTCTGCACCTGTCTCGACGGCTCCGTTTCCTGTACGGCCGACACCGGTTTCTGTACCACCGGGGGTTCCGCCATCTCCAGCTCCCAGTGCTCCCGATCCCTGTGCTCCTGCTCCAGCGATCCAGCTGACCCCGGAGGGGCCCCATCACGGCCAACGCCGTCTCCCTGCCCGTCCTCCGGAGCTGTCCCGGCACTGCCTTCCTGCCCGTCCTCTGGAGCTGTCCCGTCGCCGCCTTCTTGCCCGTCCTTGTGCCCGGCCCCCCGAGTTCCCCAGCCACGGCCTTCGCCCTCGAGCCCGGCCCCCTGAGTTCCCCAGCCGCGGCCTTCGCCCTCGAGCCCGGCCCCCTGAGTTCCCCAGCCGCGGCCTTCACCCTCGAGTCCGGCCCCCTAATTTACCCCGACGAGGCCTTCACCCCTGTCTTCGGCCCCCTGAGTTTCCCCGCCACGGACTTCCCTGCTCTGTTGCTGTTCCCCTGGGCCGTCTGCACGAGTCCCCCTTCTTGGCCTCTACCTTGCCCCCGGGGCCGTCCGCCCGTGTCCCCCTTCTCTGCCTCTGCTTTGCACCCGGGCTGTCCGCCCGAGTTCCCCTTCTCAGCCTCTGCTTTGCCCCCGGGCCGTCCGCCTGAGTCCCCCTTCTCGGCTTCTGCTTTGGCTGTCCACCCTAACCCTATTTAGAGAGAATGGACGTCCATTCTCAGGAGACGTCTGACAGTGGTGCGGTTACCCAAAGTGACAGACCTAATTTTACCTCTATTTAGAGGCAATGGACTTCCACTCTCGGGAGAGGGACCTCCAGCATGTGTCCCTGAAATGGGGACTCAGAGGACAGGCTGCTTCACAGCACTATGTAACCCAGGAAAGAAACTTGAAACCTGTCAGTTTCATCCACATTTGACTCATGAAATGTACAGCAGAGTCACTGCTGTAAGCAGGGTCCCACGCACACACAGGCAGAGATCCAGGGGTCATGCACATGGCTTTCTTACCCAGCAATAAGTGTGTGAAAGCTGGGTAAAAGTTATGTGAATACAGGGAGGGAGAGACCAGTAGCAGCAGAAGCAGCAGGCTGTGACCCATACAGAGAGCTCCTTCCAGCACCTCGCTCTCCCACCCAGAGGACAGGCTGCTTCACAGCACTATGTAACCCAGGAAAGAAGCTTGAATCCTGGGTATGTCAGTGTTAAAAAGTGCATTAAACTGGTTTAATTACCCAGCAATAAGTGTGTGAAAGCTGGGTAAAAGTGATGTGAACAGAGGGAGAGAGCAGCATTTCACAGGCATTTCACAGGCACATAGGCAGAGATCCAGGGTGATGCACATGGGTCAGAAAAAGTCTAAGTTAACTTTTGGAAGAACCAGAGAAAAGGGTGAAAATGGATAAAATGACCCAAGACCCCCAAATGACGGACTAAGCAGATCCAGCATTGCTCCCTCACATGAGCAAACAGGCTATTTTACACTAACAGGAGACAGAGCGCGAAAACCACCTCTCTGTGGGCCCTCCAAGACCCCCAAATTATGGACTAAGCAGCTCCAGCATCGCTCCCTCACATGAGCAAACAGGCTATGGCAGACTTCCATGAAATACACCGGGAAAACCACCTCTCTGTGGCAGCTCCAAGACCCCCAAATGACGGACTAAGCAGCTCCAGCATTGCTCCCTCACATGAGCAAACAGGCTATTTAACACTAACAGGAGACAGAGCGCAAAAACCACCTCTATGTGGCCCCTCCAAGACCCCCAAATTACGGACTAAGCAGCTCCAGCATCGCTCCCTCACATGAGCAAACAGGCTATGGCAGACTTCCATGAAATACACCGGGAAAACCACCTCTCTGTGGCCGCTCCAAGACCCCCAAATGACGGGCTAAGCAGCTCCAGCATCTCTCCCTGACATGCGTACTTCCATAACCTCGCGCACCTTGGGTCCCCGGGCCCCCAAACTTAAGCACTCCCCCACGGACTAAACCCAGATGATCACACCCTCAAGAACCTCGTGCCCCTGGGAACCTTAAAGGGGGGGTGGAGTTTGCGGTGCTTTATCGTCCGCCCATCGGCATCCATATTCGTCCTTAATCACAGCACCACCCACCCTCCTGTGGAGGATGTTCTCATGGCCCTGGTAACACTTAAAGGTGGTGGATTTTGCGGTGCTTTATCGTCCGCCCATCGGCATCCATATTCGTCCTTATTCACAGCACCACCCACCCTCCTGTGGAGGATGTTCTCATCGCCCTGGTAACCCTTTAAATAGTCTGATACTACCACTGCACTTTACAAGCCAGAAATAATGTTTAAATAGTCGGGGGAAGTGTTTTTAAACGTTTGGAAGAGATTTTTAGCTTGTCATTTTGCAAGATATCATTTAACATTGAAGCTCTTCTGGAGATGGACAGAATATGCCAATTTACAGGAGAGCTTCAATGTTAAATCATATCTTGCAAAATGACAGGCTAAAACCCAGGAAATAAGTGTTTCAAAGGCGGGGAAAAG